ACAACTAGTAGGTCGACTAGTAATCCAACTAATAAAACAACTAATAAAACAATTAATAGAACAATTAACAAAACAATTAATAAAACAATTAATAAAACAATTAAGAAAACAATTAATAAACCAATTAATAAAACGATAAATAAAACAATTAACAAAACAATTAACAAAACAATTAACAAAACAATTAATAAAACAATAAATAAAACAATAGTAGAACAATTAGTAAGGCAATTAATTAAATAATTAATTAAACAATTAGTAAAGCAATTAGTTAAACAATTAGTTAAACAATTAGTTAAACAATTAATAAAATAAATTATATTCTAGTAAATAAATAACTTATAATAAAGTTAAAAAGAAGGTAAATAATAAACTAGAGAAGAAACTAAATAATAAAGCAAATAATAGATTAAATAAAAAACTAGAGAACAAAGTAAATAATAAACTAAATAATAAGCTAATTAATAGACTAAATAATAAGCTAGTACTAAACTAAGTAGTAAGATAGAAAACAAGTAATAAATAAGGATATAAATAAGAGGACTTAGACGTATTAGAAAAAAGAAAACATATAATAAAAATAAATAAGAAAATATAAAATAGGTAAGTAAAACAAGTAAGATACTAAATAGAAAAACTGTAAAACATTAAAGAAAAAAATTAAAAATAGTTTTTTTAATAATATAAAAAGTAGTAATAGATATAAAAAATTAGAGAAAACTAGAATAAAAGTAAGTAATATATATAAAGTTAAAAATAATAAAGTAGTATCTAAAATACTAGAAAAGAAAAATAGTAATACAAAAATATAAAAATACTTATTCCTAATAAACTGTTCTAATAGAACTAAATCGTATAATAATAGTAATAGCTTCAAGGTCTAGCTTCGAGGTCTAAAGAACCGAATTAGCTTAGTATATATAAGGCGAAAGCTTCGCTCGCACTCCTCTAGGCACGCGCTAGCCGCCTAGGAGCACATTTTATAACTAATAGTAGCTATATTACGAGAAAAATCTCAAATTAGATTTTTATTAAGTAAAACTATAAGGTCTAGGTTTTGTATTACTAAAAATAGTATACTAAGACTTAAGAAAACGCTAAAATTCTAAAATCTCTTACTTAGAAGTTTAAGCTATATAGCTTATTAGCTTAGGATATAACTACTAGAAATTTTATCATTTTCTAAAAATACATATAAATTAGAGTATCTTTGTCTTATATTATGAAGCTATAACTCCTCTAGATAAAAAGATATTTTAAAAAGAACTTGTAGGGGCAAAGATTGCGCTGTGAATTCTTCATTGACAATCTGGCATATATAGAGCTCCGTCTGCTGTCCATATTCTATGATACGCGACCACGTTTGATCAACTTTGATGCGAGGCATGGTCGCTTAGATCGTTCCTGTCTACAGTAAGGTGCAGTACATGAAGGATGACGGGATGAAGCCAACCAGCAGCAGCATCTGGACGCACGTGTCGAGGACTTCTTGTTCTCCTCACCTCCGCCTCCGCCTCCGCTTTCTCACTTCTCCATTCACACGTCCGGCCCACGAGAAACCGGCACCACGCGCCTAGCGATGCAGCACTCATGCTGCCAAGGAAGCCAAATCAACGAAAGAGGTGTTAAGCAACGCTCAATAATACAACGCCGATGATTGGTGCTTTGCATCTTCTACGCGATCGGCCGTGCGGCTTCTTCGAGCCATCGACGGCATCCTGGGAGAGCTCACTCACGACCGGACACCGGCGCCTCTGCTGCGATGAAATCTTGATTGCGGCAGGGCTCATTCATAAGGACTAGCTGACCGCCCAAGATGTGAGAGCGGGAGGGGGAGGCCACACTTCATTCACTCGCTCCGCCTGAGATTCTGGCCAAGATGAAGCTCTCCATCCTGTCCGTCCTTGGCTGTTCTCTGCTTGCAGAAGCGAGCTGGAGGAGGAACATCAACTATGGATCCCCATCTCACAACCATCCAGGCCTTGGCCTGTCACTGCACAAAATCAACAAGAGAAATACGTAAGCTAGCAACCGCAATTGCATTTCGGTAGTTGAGGCTGACCTGCATTGCAGGCCCGAGAAGGCATTCACTGCGGATCAACTCAACTTCACCCATGGCGTGGCTTCTGGTAAGCCTTGATTGTTCAAGCCTGTCTTGATGCTTATCACCTTTGCTAATGACTTGCTCTTGATTCATAGGTGATCCATACCCCGATAGCGTCATACTATGGACTCGCGTAGCGCCGATGAACGCGGACGTGGCTAGCAACAAGACAGTGAGCGCATACATGCCTCTATACAACCACGGCCCCAATCAGACAGTGTCGACCGCTCCAGTCTGTGTCGAATTCAAGGTGGCCAAGGATTCGGACTTTGCGCACGTGGAAAGCAGTGGAAGAGCGTACACCTCAAGTGATATTGATTACACTGTCAAGGTTGAGGCTTCAAACCTGACGGCATGGACACGCTACTACTACCAGTTCAATATCTGTGGTAGCGATAAGAAGAGTCCTCTTGGTCGCACCAAGACCACGCCTGACGAGAACGACTACGTCTCGAAGGTCGGCCTTGCTGTGTACTCTTGCAGCAACTTTCCATTTGGTTTCTTCAACGCCTATGGAAATCCCGCCAGAAAGGACAGCGTCGATTTCGTCCTTCACCTTGGTGACTACATTTACGAGGTAAGCTTGAACCCCGACGACCCGTCTTCATTGTTACCTGACGATTTTGCATTCAGTACGCAGGCAATGGCGATTATGGGTATGGGTACAGCATTGGCCGTATTCCAGTTCCCGACAAGATCATCTACACCCTCGATGACTACCGACAGAGACTTGCCACTTACCGCACCGACTTGGATCTTTTACTCTCGCACCAGTCTTTCCCTTGGATTCCGGTGTGGGACGACCACGATGTCTCTGACAACACGTACCGCGACGGCGCTTCGGAGCTGAACAATACCGAGGCTTCTTTCGTTATGGACGGAGGAGTTTCTGTCGATCAGCGCAAGATGAATGCAGTACGCGCATATTTCGAATGGATGCCAATTCGTCAGGTTGAGATGGACGACAATCTCCGCATCTGGCGTAGTTTCAAGATCGGCTCCCTTCTCGATCTGGTTATGCTCGACACTCGTCAGTACGACCGCTCGATCACTGATCTGTACTGGAACACCGACTATATCCATTCCATCTCTAACGATGCCGGGCGATCGATGATGGGAAGTCGACAAGAGAACTGGTTCTACAACCAACTCGGTGAATCTGCTAACCGTGGTGCGAGATGGCGAGTCATAGGTTCTCAGACCGTGTTCTCGAGAGTGAACGAGTCTGTTTCGTTCGGAAACACCAACCCCTTGGACTACGATGCATGGGATGGATACCAAGCGAACCGCAACCGCACATTGAACTTCCTCACTCAGAACAAAATCGGAAACAACATCGTGATCTCAGGAGACAGTCATGCTTCTTGGGTGTCTGATCTGGTCTGGCTTGATCACACTGACTACTCTCCTTCAAATGGCAACGGCGGTCTGGGCGTTGAGTTCGCCGGCTCTGCGGTCACCTCGCCCTGTCCATATGGCCAGAACATCACTATCAAGAGCGCGAACAATTACAGCGACTGGCTGGTCGGCGCCAACCCAGAACTGCAGTGGAACGATCTTTACTACAGAGGATACTTTGAACTCCACCTCACCTACGAGGAGGTCAACGCTTCGTACTTTGGCCTGCCAACTGTTCATACTCGCAACCCCCTCGAGATTTCCATTGCAAACTTCACCGTGAAGAGCGGCGCTAATAAGTTGCAGAGACCTTTTGGGGTCGTAGAGAGTGGGAGTTTGAAGGGTGGGAAGATTCTTCAGACTAATCTTACTAATAATACTGCAAATGGTGTCTGGGCTGTGGTCAATGCCGCAAGGGAGGAGATTTAGAGGAGATGTAATATCTATGGTAGTAATGCGAAGTAATGTAGACGATTGGCGAAAAGTGTATAGAGTAGAATATATAACAGCTGTGATTGTGCCTACCAGGTACGAATGTTATACAATGCTATATGTCCGCTTCCTACGTTGTCGCTGCATTTCGAGATAGGTTAAGCGCGATAACGGTTAACGAAAAGGCACATACTTGGCTTCTTCTTCTTCTTCATCATGTAGCCATGACCGATCGCGATGTTGAGATTCGAGAAATTCCCGGCAGTAAGAAGGCATTTAGGGACGACGAGAGGGCCGTTGAGCTGAGACTCGGGTTGCAAATGAAAGGTCGTAAACCCGTAGGCACGATTTTTTATACTACATCGAAGTCGCAAGCCATCGTCGAGACGCTTACAGCCAGAAAGGAAAAAGATGCGTGCTTATAGGCCGTTCCAGGAAAAAGGGTTTGGGCGAAGAATGCGAGCTAGTGGAATTATTGCGTGAAGCATTCATTCACTCGCGGCATGTAGGTACGTTCGGTGAAGGGTCTCGCTCTGAGTCGAGCACTGCCGTTGTGAAGGCACAGAAGGGGTAGGAGAGGTCAGCATGCCGCTCTCCCGTCCGACGAGTCAACATATTGGTTCTGGTAGAGGGGTGGAGAATGTTCTGCGGAGCCTTCGACGTCCATGGTCATCGCGGAGGCTCAAGCAGTAGAGTTCGAACGGGGTCATCGGGATCGAGAACAACCCAGGTCACGTGGGATGCCTGGTCAGAGCTGCAGATGTGTTTCAGCTGGTCGGAAGTGGTTCAATTATATGTTGCACACGCCATGATTATTGCCATCTGCACATCTCGCCAGCAAACGGATGTGCGGCTGCAAGAGAAGGCTCTGCAGATTAATCCACACTACGTTTCAGCTGGCAGTGCGGTGCCTATTATCAGCAGCCAGCACGACTTGACTTGCGTATGAGATCTGCATGTGATGTGGCTTGGCAGAAAGCACCAGCCATCCTCCATCTCCACTCTGACTCTCTGACCTCCGGTCGTTCCCCACCAAAAGGCACCTTGCGCAGTAGGTTTCCAGCCGTTTGCCACATGTAAGAAGGATTTGTCGTGTATGTTAGGAGTTTTAGTGAAACCTAAATGGAGTTACGAGTATAGCGTTTTACTAGTAATTACTAGGCAATAAGCTACCCGCAATCCTCTAGTTTAGTAGCGTTTAGAACCGCTCGGCGTAGTAACAAATTAGGTTAAGAAGGGCGCCTCTCTCGAGCCTATTAGTAAAGCGGCTATTTAACTATTTAACTATTATAGAAGTAGCAATTTTATAGTAGAAGAGACTATTATAGAAGTAGCAATTTTATAGTAGAAGAGACTATTATTATTACTATATAATTACTACCTTCTACGACTATATCGGAAAGCCTAGCTACACTAATTGCTATCTCTTCGACCTCGTTATTACTTAGTACGTTATCTATAAGCTATTAACTTACTAGCGGTTAACTAACTAGCGGTTAACTAGCGGTTACTATATATTCTTATATCTCTTATCTCTCGTCTAACTCGCTCGTTACTAGGTAGGTTATTAGTAGCGTTATCTTCCGAGTCGTCTATTATCTAACTAGTTAGTCGCCTAGCCGCTCGTTCGTAATCCTTATCTCGTATATAGCTTATTATCGTATCTATAGTATACTAGTCTACGTTATAGAAAATAAAAAGCTCCTCGAACGACGAGAGGCTAGAATCGGTAAAGTAATAGTCGTTTATAGCAATACCGTTAATCTCGCGAATACTATATATAAAGACCTATAATAGCTTACCTTAATTCTATTAGTTAGTTAAATAGTAAGTGCCTAGCGGCGTAGGTAGACCTCGTACTAATAGTGTATCTCCTATTAAATCTACCTCTTTAACGTCGTCTAAATCGAGCGGTTACAAGGACTATATATCTAGCATTGTCTCGCGGCGTAGTATATTAAAGGAGGGCGGTAGAAGGCGCGGAAATAGCCTCGGAGTAAGGTTACCTAGCGGAGGTAATAAAACTATAGGTTAGCGAATAGGTAACGACTAAATACGCTATTTTAATAGTAACGGTCGTAGTATTATATTAGAATAGACGAGGTAGTGTGTTTCCGGCGTTATCGGTAGTCGCAATTAAGCGCGAGTAGGTGTCGCTAGTTTAGAAGGTAGTTAAGTTATCTACTATCGCTCGGTCTTACCTATAAAATAGACCTCTTATAGGTTAGCGATAAAATAGTTAATATTTAACGCGTAGTAACTGTTTAAGAAGTCTTTAACCTTCCGTACGTAGAAGGCGTAGAATGCGTCCTTTATAGTACTATTAATAGAAAGGTCGTCCTTAATCCGCTAGTACTTTAGATTTAGCGTTTCTACCGCCTCCTTAAAGTAGCCTTATAGATCTCTTAAAAGAGGTGTTTATGCTAGGGCAATAGCGTCTTCTTTATAACCTTCGATTACGAGTTATTAAGTATCGAGAGCGCGCTAGTATTCGTAAGCAAATATAACGTTTAGGCCTAGAAACAGCTCGATATATCGTCGCTATTATAGCTTACTAATTTCGAGTCTATTAAACAGATAGTTACGTAGAATATAGTAGTAAGGTAGGCGGGTTTGAAACTATACGAGGCAATTATAGCGAGCCGGAGTTATATAGTTATAACTGCGTAGTGTGCCCTTATATACAGGTGCTGCCTTAGCTTCTATTTTAATAGCAATATCTACCTGTTCTCGAATATAATCCTAAGTAGCTAGTAGTTGCAGTGTCTCGAAGCCTAGAAGGCCCTTATAGTACTAATATTATATGCGTTTGCCGAGCCTATAACTAGCTAGCTATGCCTTATAAGCCTGCCTATCGTCGACTTTAAGAACCTCGATAATAGTGCTATATAGTATATAGAACACTAGGTTGCGCTTATTGCGGTTATACTTAATAGCATAGTAATAGCCCTCTAAAGGCGAGGTAGTCCTTATTTGTAGCAATAATAGACTATAGAGCCGCGCCTAAGTTGCCTATTTCCGTAAAGTTTAGCTATTCTAATTATAGCGTATATATTAGACCTTGTCCTGCTATCCTATAGGCGTATGCTCTTATAACTACTCTTAAATCTATGCTATATCGGTACTAACGTCGCCTGCGCTACGTACGTAGTAGATTAAGTAGTAAAACCGCTTAATAATCTCTAGAAACTAGGCCTCTAGAAACGAGCGAAGGAAGGTCTCTTTAACGTGCCGCTAGTAGAGGCAAATTCGTACCTAATCGTTATCCTTCTACGAGAGGTTAATAGCCGCCTGTTCTAAGGCCGAGTCGTCGACTATAGCTATAATAAGCTTCTATAGTAGTAACTATACCTTAATAGCTCGAAGTCTAGCTTCTACGAGCTTAGCTTTCTACGATTCTAGTAATAGGTAGCCTACTAGTGGCTAACAACCTAACGCATTACGAACATAGACAGTAAAAAGGTTCTAACTAAGGTCGGTAGTCTTATAATTCGCGTCTAGCAAAAATAACTATATAGTATATAAGTTGGTAATGTTTTGAATTTTTAAAGTTAGTAGTAGGAACTATAGAACGCAAGCTTTAGAAGCTTAGTTACACGCCTGCCTTCTATACTACTACTACTAATACTAACAATAATACTTACATCTCCTGCCTCGGTATTTAATAACTCTCGTTGCTACTCGCTCTAAAAGACAATACTACGCTCTGTCTTGCCCTTTAGTATCTTCGATATTACCTAGAATTAGAGCTCTTTAGCGTCTATATTATTATAAACACCCTTTAGCGCGATAGCAAGGTCGTCTAGCTAGATACTCGTATTTCTACAGTTACTAGCACGAGCCTTCCTTAGGTTAGGCCTAATCTTTAACTACGCTACAATACTAGCCTTTAGATACTATCCGCTAATTTTGCTAAACTCGTCCTTTAATAGCCCCCTTTTAACGAAGTCTAACACCTTAGCAACGTTGAAAGCGCGCTATTCTATTAATTCCTCGAGAAGGACTTTTAGGGCGTTGTTTGCTAACCGAATATCTATATATCTTAGGTCGTAGCAATATAGGTTATTACTAATCGCTAAAGGATCGCTTCTATAGCGGCGGACACTAATTTCGTATAGATTAGTCGCTCTACTCCGATAATGCGATATAACGACTACTATAGCGTTATACGGCTCTTTATTATATTTAGCCTTGCGAATGCCCTCTCCTAGTAACCTATTCCGCTACTAATCGCGCCTATAACGACAATACTAGTGCGACCGCTGCTCTAACCTATCCTTCGTTCTCGGCGACTTTAACTCCTTATATACTATTAGCTAGTAACCGGCCCTACACCTATAGGCCAGTTTTAAGCCTATATAAGAGGCCTCCTTCTATAGAGTAGATAGATTATTAACCTCGTATAGCACATTGTTTATGTTACACTTCTATAATGCCTATATTGCAGGGCTCTAGTTATTAGCCTAAGCGACAGTCTCGTTATCCTATCTTACTAAACATAGCTGCCTATATTGCTATAGGTTATGTTACCCTCGGTAGCCTATACTATTGCTATAAGTAGTAGTAGTAGTATTAGTTTCCGTCCTTTATTAGAGCCGAAGGTAGGGCTATCTCTTTATATCTAATAGGTTCGGGTATATTAAAGGTAGTCTCTAGGTACGAATAGCTATAACCGAAGCGAGGGTACGATAAGAGCCTACGATATAGACGATACCGAAGTATCTTAAGGGGCCGTTACGATAAGCAGAGAAACCTCTTAACGAGGGCATCGCTTTAACCCCGAAAAGCTGCAAACCCTTAGGACTATTATAGCTTAGGGCCTAGTCTATAACTATAGCTAGCTTCTAAGGACTCGGCTCCGGGTCGAAGACCTATTTAGCACCGCTTGCTCGAGATAAGCTACTACCTGCCTAAGGAGGAGATAGACTAATTACCTATCGGCCTTGCTTAGTTTGCTAAGACTATCTATACGATAGCAATTTCTAGATTATAGGTCGGATGCCTAGACAGTTCCTTTATTAACCGGGTAGATTGTTTCGGGATTCGCTGCCTCGTTCGGATAGTACTTAGCCTTCTACTAGAAAAAGAAGGTCCCCGCCCCCCCCCCCCTA